ACCCTAAACCCTACATTGCCCTACATGAAGCTACACACCGAAGACGCCAAGCGTCTCCCTCCGGAGGAAGGCTTCCTCGTCCGCGGAGATGAGGAGGGTCTCCTCAGGGACCCTTAAAGGGGGCTGTAGGGTGATTAGGATTTGGGGATTGGGGATTAGGGTTTAGGGTTTGGGGTTTAGGGGTGTTTAGGGGTTTGGGGTTTAGGTTTTGGGGTTTAGGGTCAGGCGGACTTATTAAGTAGGTTGTTATTGGGGATAGATAGAGTTACTATATAGTTTATAGGGGCTATTCATCTACATACTAAGTCCCCCTGACCCTCCAAGTAGGGTGTCAATGTATGGGGTTTCTAGTGTTTATGGTCTCCAGGTTTAGGCTTCAGGGTTTTCAAATCTAGCAGATTCAGGAGACTCTGGGGACATACTGGGATGTTGAGGGAATGATGACGCTACTCTATGGGGTCTCGTTTGAGAAGCTGCGGAATAAGGTGCCTACAGGGGAGAAGGTTCTTGCCTCCTAGGCTGCGGGGAAGGAATTCGGGAGGCGTATGCAAGCGTTGTGCGAGCATGGGTTGGCCTTCGAATATGCGAGCATAAAACTTCTGGAAGCTGGCGGGCAGTATCTTGTCCGGGGCAACCATTTGGAATGATGAAAACTCAGTGAGAACAACATGCCTTCAGTGCTGGAAGTGCTAAGCCCTACCGAACGGCCCCCATGCTAGAAGCTAAGCTCTAAGGTCGCCCGCCCTCAATGCCTTAAAGAAGTTGAGTTCTGAAAAATAATCGGACCATGCCACCATTTTGATACGGAAACCACATCAGACCCGATGAAGCTAACAACCTAAACACCTCCAGCAGCGTAGCTCCTGTGCAGCCTCCTCCAGCGCAGAGGAGTCCCGCATGGAGGGGCTGTAGAGGACGTTCTGGCGGAGATGGCGAGGGGTATCCCGATCCCCTAATGCCCTTGATCATGCCGTGAGAACTTTGGGAAGTATGCTGGAGACCAGTGCTGAAAGAAACCTGCCCCTAAGGAACCGAAGACACGTCTTTTGGTAGATATGCCTGGATTCACCACCTTGCTTTCAGGGGCAGTCTAGGATTTGAGGTTTCGCACAGAGTTCAGGATCGAAAGCACGCCCAAGCTACTTCACTTCTCACGCCTGTGCAGGCCCCCTAAAATGACATTTTGAGGGTACTGTTACGAGGAAGCTATTGCTGGCGATACTCCTTACTGTAGACCTTTATCGTACAAGGGGCGCTTAACCAACGTAGACTCATATCGGTTTGGACACGGCCTACAACACAGTCACATTGGCTCCGCATGAAATCAAACCAGATCAATTCTACATCCCGACACAAGTCCAAAGCCATGCATGTGCGTGCAGCTCATGCCCAAATGAAACCAACTGTGTCCGTTGGTCTTAGTCTTAATAGTATCGCCAAGACCAAGCCTGTGGGGTTCACGCAGAGGTTACACCAGTTTTCAAAAACAATCGGGCAATTAGGGTATTAGTTGCAGATGTCGGTACGTGCGCAAGGGTAAGATGGCTGAAAAGTCGGTTTTCCACGCGCCGCCAATTAGACTACACACACTCCCGGACAACTTCAATATCTCGAACCCTGGCCAAACTCTTTTCCTAAACCCTAAACCCCTCAAATTCTTTTCCTAAACCCTAAGACTCTCTTCCTAAACCCTAAACCCTAAAACTCTTTTCCTAAACCCTAAAACTCTTTTCCGAAACCCTAAACCCTGTAATTCAACTCGGGCTCGGTGGCCCTCGCTGCGCCTGTGGCAGGTCTTCGCAGGCCGTGCCCAATCTATTCAGGTGCAGGAACCTTTGCTGGCAGCAGAGGGTTCGGCTCTGAGGAAGTTCAGGGTTTCAGGGTTTAGGGTTCAGGGCCGTTGTAGCTGTAGCCGAGAAATATGTGAGGCAGGATATCTTGTAGCACCAGCTGATAACATGCATGGGGCCTCACATGAGCACTGAGTAGATTGGAGACAACGCCTGCATTTTGCCAGCATTTTGCAGGTAACCTGGCATTTTTGAAGCCAGGGTCCTCCCTAACCCTAGAACCTAAACCCTAAACCCAAAAATTGGTCGACAAACCCTGTAATATCATCCACCCTAACATTACCCCTATGAAGCTACCGCAATACAGCAGTACAGTACTATATTCATATAGTAACAGAATATTATATGGTAATATAGCAATATAATATAGGAGACCAGCAATATAGCCATAGAGAGGAAGGATTGCATTCAGTGCGTTGGGGAGCGCATATTCATCCAGGAATTTGCCGTTTCTGCACCCTAAACCCTAAACCCCTCGGTTTCGGATTTAAGGCTTAAAATTTGCTCTCCTTTAGCCGGCAAACACATCCGTGCCAAAGCCATCCAAGGAAAGGATCTTCAGGTCGCCCCCGAAGTATTGCCTTGGGACAAAGTTGAAGGTTTAGGGTTTGAGCTTTAGGGTTTAGGGTTAGGGTTTGAGGGTATACGGCTCAAACAGGCATGCTCGTTTATTTTGACATTACAGATATCTGCTAACATGTACCGGCATGAGTGCTGAGCGGATTTGCCTTCAGTACTAGTGACTTAGTAGTGATGATGAGACTATAGGGTTTAGGGCCTAGAGCTTCCTCTAGAGGGCATATAGACGTGAAGTCGTATAGTAATACAGTCATACGGTACCATAATGACATCTAAAAGGAAACACTTTAGAGTGCAGGTCTCAGACCTTTGGCTGCCAAGGCTTGGAACCTTCGTTGGCCCAGATGAGCACATTGCGAAATCTAAAACTTGGCTTCACCCCTACATCTTGCAACCTCAACTTGAGTAGCGTTTTTTTGGTGGTTGATCCCAATGAGATTATGTCCCTCCTACGACGTACCATACCCCAAAAGAGGATATGATCTTCCTCTTTATTTGGGACTGTAGTATCCCCAAATGAATCACTACTCACTTGGTTTGAAACTCGGACCTGCAAGGCAAGCATGTGGCCAATGTCAGAATGTCCCATACCTTGAGCTTAATGCCCTCCCCATGCAGCTCCATTCCTCGGTACATGTGTTGCGATAACGTGTGTTGCCGGGACCACAGCTGTTCAACTCCTTCGACTAAGACGTTTTTTGTTTCACTGTGCTGAGTAGAGGGTCTGTGCCGCAATCCTCGCGTGATTGAAGCATGAGCTATCGCAGAAAGCTTTTCGACTCTTTACATTACTGTCTGGAACTGCGACGACCCTGCAAAAGAATACGCACTAGGCCATAAAAACGCCCGTGAAACTCCAGGCTTGGGTGTTGAAACTGGCAAGCACAGCTACACAACTTCAAGCCCTAAACCGCACACACCCTTGAAGCCTATAACCCTAGACCCTAAGCCCTCTAAACCCTAAGCCCTAAACCCCACACACTGAACCCCAAACCCTGACTTGCATCCTAGCTGCGCATACAGCCGGCCCAGGGTCAGGCCCACGCCAAACCTTGGTTTGCGGGTCAAAGCTTCGGAACTGGAACCGCGAACTGGAACCGCATGAGCCGGAACCAGCTTCAACCGTAATAGTTTCTAGGAACCGGGAACCGGAACCGCTTAAAAACTCCGAGCCGGGAACCGGAACCACTTTTGAAAACCCGACCTGGAAACAAATTGGAGTCAGTCAGGCATCACTATGACAATCAAAGAGCGGCCATACGAACCATATGCTTCTTCCAGATCCTCGCTTGCACCCCAGCTATAGGCCACCAGACGAAAATCTTCCAGTTTCCGGGCGTTTCAAATCCTTGAACGGGAGTGACAACTCCGAAAACACCACTCCCGCACGCCACCCGCAAGCCTCCCCTTTCCAAGGCCATTTTCAGGTTTCGGAGCCCTAAACCGGCCCAGAGACTGGTGATGTTGAGCTTTTTTGGCCGTGAAAACTCTGAAAACACGACTCCCGCGCGCCACCCCAAGCTTCCTTTCCAGGGCATTTTCAAGGCTGCTCCAACCCCGAAACAACCCAGAGACACGCGGGAGTGGTGGCCAAAACTCTGAAAGCAGGACTCCCGCACGCCACCCGCAAGCCTCCCTTTGCCAGGGCACTCTTATAAGGTGGCTCCAGCCTCAAAACAGCCCAGAGACACGCGGGAGTGGTGATTTTGAGCTTCTGGCCGTAAAACAGCCCAGAGACACGTGGAAGTGATGATTTTGAGCTTTCTAGCCGCCAAACCTCCGCACGCCACCCCCAAGCCTCCCCAGTGGTGATTTTGAGCTTTTATCCGATAACACGACTCCCGCACGCCACCCGCAAGCCTCCCCTTTCCAGGGCACGTTTACGGCTGCTCCCTTTTGAGCTTTCTGGCCGCCAAAACTCGATAACACGACTCCCAGAGTGCCTTGGCAGCACCACAAAAATCTTCCGGTTCAAAACACCCGAGTGGTGTCGTGTCACTGGGGCCTCCAAGGGCCTTCCGGGGCCGTCCGGCAAAGATCTCAGAAAACCTCCCATCCCAGCACCGAATGGCTGGTGGGCCTCCCAGGGCCTTCCAGCAAGCCTGTCAGACCCTCCCAACAAAGCTTGCTGGTTTGGGCTGCCTTGCCTCCACCGCAAAAGGGCCTTCAAGGCCTGGAAGCACTCCCCAGAAAAATAGGGCTGGAGACAGCAGTTCCAGTACTAAAGTTGTATTACCAGGGAACGAAAATCCATCCGCTTGTCGGAAACGGCCATTCCAGTACCAAAGTTGTATTACCAGTGAGCCCAAACCCATCAGGTTGCCGGAGATGGCCATTCCAGTGCTAGAGTCGTACTACCAGAGAACGAAAGCCCATCCGGTTGCCAGAGACGGCCATTCCAGTACTGAAGTTCTACTATCAGAGAACTAAAACCCATCCGCTTGCCGGAGACGGCCTTTTCAGTACCAAAGCTAATTGTAATAGCAAAGAGCCAAAATCCGTCTGGTTGCCGGATCTGGCCAGTCCAGTACTATAGTTGTACTACCAGAGAACGAAGATCCATCTGGTTGCCGGAGACGGCCGTTCCAGTACTAAACTTGCACTAAAAAAGAGGAAAGCGGCCCACCACCAAAGCTTGGAAAACGATATGCTGCTCACCAAAATCGAATGTGCAAGCCCACACAAGGAATTTAGACCGTGCTTCATATTACCATACGGCTGTTATTTCTTGAGCTTGCATTCTCGGCCGAGGGCGTAGAAGCGGCTTTTTTCCGAGGTGGGCACCATTGAAGCTACCCCTATACATCTAAGCCCGGCCAGCCAAGTTACATGATGAACTATGGGCACTTCGCCCAGAAGCTTTCCTGGCTGGTGGGATCTCCGACGCTCGCAATTATTAGCTGGCCTTGATTTGATGCTGAGGGGACATTTGGGATTTCGTTTATAAGGTTCAAATAGATTATGCGCGTCCATCACGTCCAGGAAGTCTGCGGTGTAAGGGCCAAGCCCCATGATCCACGAGAGGCCGTGGTTATTACCCTCCATGTGCATTCGCGCAGGGTAAGTTCTTCTTCATCAGTCTAGTACTGAACTTGATGACGACCGGGTCGTGCTCGGGAAACGTGCGAGCAACGAGCGCAAAGCTCTAGGTCAGGTGAGGCAGGTGATGCCTGCATCTAAAAAAGGCATTCTCAACCTGGATGCCACATAGTGCACAGCTTTCTGCTGTCAACACGAACCCTCAACTAAGGATGAAGCTGAATGCCTAAACACCTGATAACCCTAAACTCCTAAATCATAAAGGCACCGCGCGCCTTTTACAGACAGTGCTGCTGTGATTAGGGTGTAGGGTGTAGGGTTTAGGGTTCAGGGTTTAGGGGAAAGGGCATCGCGAATGCATTTATTAGAGTTCTGGGGCATGCTGTTGCTATTCAACGGATCTATATAGAACCTATCGGGGGTCTATCATCTAATTACCCTTTGCTATGTATGGCTAGTGACTCAGGCCATGGATCCAGAAACTGGAGTCTACATTGAAGGAAGAGCCCTCTGCTTCCTCTGCGGAATCTGGGATGGTTAAAGTCAAGCATGTGATCAAGGGGGACAAGATTAAGAAGGCGGTGCGCCTCAAATGAAGTATACGTATACCTGCATCCTTCCAACAACGAGTTGCTAAAGATTGAAGCCGACGAGACCCGTTGCCTGACCAGAGTGCTGAACGTCACCAACTCTGCCTCTGCCTTCTCGACCGGCCTTCTGATCGAACACAGCCACCACGGGGACGGCCAGGCTGCAGCTTGATACCAACGGCCACTGGCTTCGCGCAGCTGGAGGTTGCCAGCACCGGCAACTGCACCCTGCGCCAGACCAAGGGATCTGGCTGCAGGCTCTCGGGCCAGGCACCGCGCCGAAGCGCTACAGCCAACGCTGCGCTTGGATAAGAACTGCAGCACGCCATGACACAATATGACACAATGATGTATTGACGCCTGCCTCTTTTGGCCACGGCTCTGCCACTGGAAGGCCCCATTTGTTGAGGCGAAAGGGCTTCACCTGCAGAGGAAGCATGCATATCCGAGGAGACAGCTGCGACATGCTGCGACCTACAGATCCTACAGTGTGTACCACTGTATGTACCACAGGCCAACACAACATGACACCAGCATGACTTTAGGAGCTGTCATATCAGGATTTTCAGTCGGGCTGCGTTGCTGGAAGCTAGCCGGGTTGCACCACCTGGGGCAGCACAAATGCAAGGAGCTGCCACCGACACTGTGAGAGAATGGTCTCAGGCACCGTGTCGACGCAAGTTCGGGGCATGTTGGGGCACACAGGCTTCCCTGCCTGGACCACGTTGGCTTGGACATGGACAGGCGCCACCTGCTTCTGAGCAAAGAACTATGTAAGACCCCGCCTGGGAGCTGAGCATTAGTGGCACCCTCAGTCAACCCAGAATTAAAGGCACAGAGACTGAACTTCGATGTGTATATGATATGTGTCATCCTGTCAGGATAAATATTCGGCAGTATAATATGCAAGGCCCGCGGTCGCATGGACAGCCCCTAGTCGCCCTTAAGACTTAACATGCGTCTGCGGAGCAAGCCTTGGCACACGCTGGGATCATAACCTTGCGGCTGCAAGAGTCTGCCAAGTAGGATCAGAAGCTTCGACCGCAACACATGAAAGGATCTGGTGGCTTCTCATCCTCTAATGCCGAGGGGCAGGAGCTAGCGGCACGCAGATCTTCGGCACGACAACGTGCGCGGCCCTCGAAAAGTCTTTGGCCACGTTGCCCACGCCTGCTGGCAAGGAGCCTACAGAGCCTGACCAAAGCAAAGCTCTCAAAGCCAGTGGTCCCCAGCCTGGCCGGGGCTGGCAGATCATCACCGCCATCGTTGAAAGTATGAATGAAATGGAGGGGGGCCCCACAATGCTTGCATCTTGAGTTCAGAGCAGCACATGCCGATCATCTAATCTTGGACGCGCTTTGTTGCATTGATGCTCCAACACGTGGACACTAGTAAACATGGTAATACGGCTTTGACTGACCCCTAGTAATCTCCACATCAGGAAAGAGCATTTTACAGAGATTTCATAATGAAATCGCGTTTTCGTGTGGGCTTTGGGTACATGACTGCGGGAGGCCTGCATTTCGCGAGGGCCAAAAACCCTAGAAGGGTCTCCACTTTTCAGCGTTCCGATTCACGAAATGCTGCGCTGGCTGGGACAAAACGGACACTGCAGGCCGTAACGCTTAAAAAAAGAAATTGTAAAGTGAAGAAAACCCTGCGCACAGTGGGCTATTATGCGAT